TTTTTTGTGTACAATGTTGGCGTAAGCGGAGCCGTACACATTCAGCTGGTTGTGAAAGGGGGCTATTTTTAGATGAGCACATTAGCTGGTTAAGCTAGTGGGAGCTTGCGCCATGGGGAAGTTTAATGGTAACTGGATGGCTAATCCCACGTTTGCGACGTGGTTAGCACCGTTTCCAGGCAATAGCTGGAAATTATAGCTTAAATTTAATTTAAAAAATTGCTTAAATTTGGTCTAAGTGGCCTTAAAAAAGGTCTTAAAAAGTCTTAAATTTGGCTCCCTTAAACCTGCAGATACCCTGTACGAAATGCCGGGGAAGTGCAGTTTTAACAACGAGTGGCTTCTCAAGGAGAAGTATCAACTGTGGCTACTGAAAGACCTTGACAAGAAACGCGTAAAATGCAGACTTTGCTCCAAGTCCTTCGATATAAGCGGCATGGGAGAGGCGGGGCTGGTAAGCCACATGAAAGGGAAAAAACACACTGCAGCTGCCGAACGCTGCAGAAGCCTGTCATTGGGCGAGTTTTTTTAAAACAGGCAAAGATGGTGTTAGTGCAGTTTCCTCCGCACCGACACAGACGGTTGTTGATGCAGCGGCTGCAATTTCCACGGCAAGGCAGACAGTCATGGATGCATCTACAACAACAGAAGTTCTCAAAGCTGAAGTGTTGTGGGCATTAAAAGTAATGAACTCTCACTACTCTTACAAGTCATCAGAAGACGTAGCTCCTCTTTCCCAGGCAATGCTTCCTGGCAGTCAGATTGCTAGGAGATTTGCATGTGGTGAGACAAAAATGCAGCTATGTGTGCACATATGGACCAGCCACGTATTTTAAGGTGATTCTGAAGGACGTGTCGCAACAAACGGCATATGTTGTTTTATTCGATGAAAGTCTTAACAGACATTTGCAGTCGAAACAAATGGACATTCATGTTAGACTGTGGGTTTGATTTAGAGGCAGCGGCTACGATGGTCCAGCTGAAATGCCTTCATTTTTGGTCTTGGAAATTCAGTGAATGGTTATGGAAAAGTCATAGAAAAGTTATGGAAAACCATAGCTTAAAAAGTGTATGAACCCTGTTTTATGTAAATGTAAAAAAAATGCTACACACTCAAAATTTTATAGGATAGTTTTATCTGCCCCAAAATGGGACATCTTTTGATGTTTTTTGCTAATTATTGCACCGTGGTAAATCGGATTGCTTAGAAAAGTAATAGCACACCTCCCTCCGCCGAGCTGCTCATTTTGACGTATAATTTGTGGGCGTGCACACCACCGTTCGAGCAGCATTAACGTCCCACCTGCTGCTGCAGGCAGGTCCCTTAACTCATTCACTGCCAGCCGTTTCCTGATCAGAAAAGGCATTCGCTGCCAGCGTATTTCAGCGTTTTTACTCTTTTTAAAAGAGTCACAGAATGTTGCACGCTAGCATGATGTTGCCGCCCAAACTACCAAAACAAAGAGAAGAGTCACCTCTTACATCAGGAAGAATCTGCGCGCTCTGAAGCCCACACAGTAAAAAAGTGCTAACGCAAATTGGCAGTGAACGTGTATTTAAAATGAACAGTTTTGTTGTCAATGGCAGTGAATGAGTTAATAATAATAAACGCGATTAATGCCAAAACCCAGACCATGTGCATAACAGCAATGGCCCTGCTGCTGCAGGTACTTTTTAAGGTACCGACTGAATTCCATAGTACTGACTGAGCACGGATTCACGTCATTTGAGACGGTGCCTCGTTTTGGTACCCGTCCTTCATAACGAGAACTTGCCTAGACAGCTGCGCATGCGCAAGAGCGTTATGTCATCGGTCGCTGCGAGCGAGTTGTAAACAGAGCAGCATGGTAGAAAGAACGCACGCTAAAGCTTGGGTCCACTTCACTAAATGTGATGGGTAACTGGGTGATGATGAAACCAGCGACAACGATCTAAGTGAGACATCCTTATCTTAATCTGCTCGGGTAGGTAAATAAAATGTTTAAGATAATGTTAGCTTGATTTGTTAGCTTCCGTTTCGCTAATGGTGCGTTCGCTTTCTCCTCGGAACTCCGAATTTCCGACTAGAAGAAAATGAACGCGCTCTAAAGTTTGGCTTCACTTTACTAAATGCGACGGGTGATTGGGTGAAGATGAAACCAGCGACAACGATCTAAGTGTGAGGCATCACCGTTTTAATCTGCTCCAGCAGTTAAATAAACTGTTTAAGATAACGTTAGCTTGAAAAATTAGCTTCCGTTCCCACCGTTGTTATCAGCTAATGGTACGTTCGCTTTCTCCTCGGAAATTCTAACTTCCCAGTAGGAAAAATCAAATGAAAAAAGACGGCAAAAGGAATGAAGATACACAGTAAATTTAGTTCACAGTAAAGATGTTTGCTTCAGTTTAATTATCAGCTTATAAAACTACAAGGACGATGTTAAAATACAGACAGTTGAATGTTATTTATCGTGATATTTATCAAATATGGTTATATATTGAGAAAAATATATATTTAATTATAAAAGAGAATTAAAATAATAAACACTCAAAAGTATCGAAAATTGGTACCGTTAAGTACCGGTATCGATTCCTAGGTACCGGGAATTAGTACCGGATCGATTCAAATGTCAAAGGTACCCATCCCTACTGTCTGGTCATGTCAACCTGTTCATTAACAATGGCTTTTCTATCTAAGTAATGTAGCTAAGTTTCACCCCATGCTCTCTAAATCTGACCTTGGAAGGTTAGTCCATGCATTCATTGCTTCACGTTTGGACTATTGCAGAAGTTTCTTTATTTGCCTAAGTAAGAAAAGCATGGAATGTCTCCAGATTTTCCGAAACTCCCTTAGTGCGTTTGTTGGGTTAGCTGATATCTTGTTGCTGTGGTTTTATTGCCATACTCATGATTGTCGAATGTATTTTGTTGTTTTACCTTGATATTTTCATCAGTGAAGCTCTCTGTGGATTGTTTTCTGTAATGGGTGCAATATAAATAAAGGTTGAGTTGATTAAAATAAATAACGCCCAGTGGCCCATGTTTTACGTTTTTCCTCTGGATAATTCATTCTACTGAATATCTAGACTGATTTTCCTTTGTGGATCCTAACAAAAGCCTCTGTAGTGCGTAAACTAATAAACAGGTCAGCAGCAGTCTCTCTGCCACCCCTGCACTCAGTCCATTAGACAGATTCTTTGCTATTTCATTATCGAAGTGGGTGGGGTCCAGCTCTACCCGTTGCTCGTCTGAACCACAGGCTGGATTTACAGTCAACCCTCCATCTCAAGAGGACCCAATCAAGTAATCTGTCATACATAAATCATGAAAGAATGAAATGAAAGAAATGCTTGCAGAATTAAAGTGTGCACTGCTGTGAAGGGGAATTAATGGTAAAAGTCACAAGTTTGAGCATGGATCTGAAAATCAAGCATCTAACCATTCCTCAGGCCTGTAGTGGAAGCCATGGTGTCAGATTTCTGCCCGTCTGCCGCTCTCGTCACCGACACCCTGGCCTGCATTAATTTTGGTAGCCACAGCTCCAGGACAACTCTGAAGGCTTTCAGGACTGTAATGGATGTTTCCACCAATGCTTGTGGTTTTCCAAGTTCAGTTCTGCCTGGGATTTTGTTTTAAAAGGAAAAGACTGCTGCATCTGCCCCTGATGGTGTAGCATCTGTTTGCTCTACTCCAGGGGTATTCTATTCCGGGTCTGGAGGGCCGGTACCCAGTCTGTTTCAGTTGTTCCTCTGCTCCAAAATACTTGATTCAGGCCCTGTCCACACGTAGCCGGGGATCTGCCAAAACGTAGATATTTTTCTACGTTTTGGCCTGTCAACCACACGAAAACGGAGTTTTTTCACACGAAAACTGATCTTTTTAAAAACTCCGGCCAAAGTGAAGATCTGCGTTTTCTCCGTTTTGGGTGTCTGCGTGTGGACAGACAAAACCGGAGTTTTAAGGTCCGCAACGTCACTTTCCGCAACAAAAAAATGCTGACATCACGTGTGCGACCTGTGTTTACACTAGCCGACAGCATGGATGCCCTCAGAGCTGCGCTCGCTTTATCAATTGTCCAAGCGCTTTTTGCTTGTTTGTTTTTGCAAGCGGAATTACTGCTCCTTGTGGAAGACCACAGACGAAGGACGAGGTTAAGAACGGGGAAGTACTGCCACCTACAGGTCTGGCATGTCCTTAACAACGTATTTATCCGGGTACGTGTGGACAGAGTTTTGTTTTAAAACGAGGTGGTGTGGATGCAAGCTTTTGGAGGGGCGGATATTCGTTTTTTTTTTTTAAACCCGGCTACGAGTGGACTAGGCCTCAGTGCTTGGATCACCTATGCAGCAGCTCACTGCAGAAGCCTGTTAATCACCTGGTGATTGAAATCAGGTGTGTTGAAGCAGAGTTGAAACTGAAACGTGTTGTTCGATCTCTGATAGGTACGGTCTGACGAAGATGAATTAGTTTATTATTGTGTCAGTGAGTGGACAGAGCCACGAATCTCATTACATCAGCTCCACTGATGCTGCAGAAGGGATTTTTGTTATTTACGTCTCGCTGCTGGCTCTGTGTGTGTGTGTGTGTGTGTGTGTGTGTGTGTGTGTGTGTGTGTGTGTGTGTGTGTGTGTGTGTGTGTGTGTGTATGATACAGCTCAGTGTGTATGCTCTGACGCTGATACACGCACTCCGAGGATTGCTTCACTGTTGACTTCACTACTAGTAACATTATTAACAATATTAGTAACAGTAGTAATTACTGGCTGTGTTACACACTGATAATAAAAACAAACCTTGTTTATTATATAAAGAAGTAAAAGGATATTGATGCCTGACAACCTTGTAGATAGCTGATGCATATGGAGTTCTATTGATCTGTCATTTGATCACACACACACACACACACACACACACACACACACACACACACACACACACACACACACACACACACACACACACACACACACTCATCATTACAGCTGCCGTTTTGGTTTTTAGTCTTTACTTTTTTTTTCCAGATGGAACCTCAGATAGGGGAGGAGCCGCCTCCCAGTGGAGGCCAGGCGGACAGCCGTCTAAAGAGCAAGAAACCACCCAGCCTTGTGATCGCCATTCCTCCACGTGAGGACACGATGACGAGTGATGCAGGCAAACAGGTAGGCTGGCTCATCTGCCTGTCGCTTACTGGTGTTGTGAGAGCAGCTGTTACATGACTGTTAAAACTCTCTTTTGTCACACATCTTGTTGTGGTCTGACATACTTGTGTTTGAGTTAAGTTGACGGGGATGAGGTCCAAACCAACCAAGTATGGGACAGTCACTGTGTTTTAAGAACGATGAGGGAAAGTCAAAATTTCAACATCAAACTCATTATTGAAATCCCAGTTACTCGGGATGTAAGAAAATATTGATATGGCAATATTTTTTCCTGTGTTATTATATCGATATTCAAAAGCTGTACATCGATTTTTTTTTTGGGGGAAGAATTTAAATGCAAACATTTGCCTTTTCTTTTCTTTTGGCGAAATTCAAATGCCGACCACTAGTGGGGAGCAGTGTGCAGTTGGTTTTGTTTCTGCCACTGAAATGTAAATCCCTCTATTACGGTTCAAACACCTCATGTTAAACATGTTACGTATCAGTTTGGACTGTTTATTGAATTTTCTTGCAACAATTTCAATCTTAAAAAATTGCTAATATCGTCAGGCTGAATGTATCGCAACATATTGTGATGTATCGTATCATCTCCCTTTGTATCGTGATACGTATCGTATCGCCAGAGTTTCACCAAAACATATCCCTACCAGTTAGTGATTTAGGTTTTAAACATGCATTCGTCATAAACCTGGTTGAAATGTTTATTTCAACATAAGATGGCTAATTTTACAAACAATACACAAAGTGAAAGAAACAGAGTTCACGCTAATTTTTGTTACACGCCATTTTGACAGAGTAAAGAAAACCCAGTCATGATTGATTTTTTTTTTTCCTGTCACTGTCATTGAAAAAAAAAATTCAATATAATTTAATTTTCATTTATTAAAGCTGCTTTCTGGAGTTTTCCTCTTTCAAAAATCCGTAAAAGTGATTATCTTATCAGGTGCTGTAATATAATATAAGCAATACGTCTTTTTTTTTTTTTTTTTTTGCTAACTAGGGCTGTCGCGGTTGAGGAATTCCCCCTGCGGTGATTCAGGGTGGCTTAATATTGCGGTGTGCGATATTATTGCAGCACTTTTTTTTATTGCAGTACTATCTAAACATAATGTTTACACATTTAAAAAAGGTTAAAAATTGCCGTGCCTTCTTTAATAACACTTTACTGAATGCAGATCAAAGGGCAGTAACAACACAGATCGCAGTAACGTTTGTTTCTCCGACAGTCGGAGTCCGACTGAACTTAAAAACAACAAAATTCAGGAGGTTAAACTTTTAAATGCAAATTTGGCTGCAGCATCTAACAAATAAGAAACAAGTCCCCATTTTGTTTAGTTGTTTAAAATCAAGCATAAAAAATTGCATGTACCGGGCGCGCGCGCGCCGGGGGCGGGCGCACTATCATTTCACTTTCACACACACGAATGACGGTGATTTATAGCTCGGTCACGTCCTTGTTACATACAAGCAAAACCAGCATGTTAACCATATACGGTTTGAGAGAGGATCTGAGAGGGGTGGCAACATTTCCAGCAACACTGAAAACCCTCTCGGATGGTGCACTCGTTGCACTAACGCACACGTACCTGCGTGCGACTCTGGCGAGCAAAGGGAATCTCTCCCGGTTGTTGCTCCACCATGTCAGGGGGGTTTCTTTAGGGTGGATGCATTCCTCCTGCAGGTAGCGAGTGAGCTCCAGCTCGGCTCAAACTCTCTTCGGGACGGTTGCAGAAGCAGTGCTTGTCCGGGACTTCAGCAGGTCTCCGAGCGTTTATTATTATTTATTTGCCGCTGGTGGCAGCTCTGTCTCGGCCAAGGACTCTGGCTGCGCAGCAGCTGACGTACTGAAAACCAAAGTGCTCCCAAAGGAGCGAAGTAACGTTTCGTTTTGATACCAGTGCAGCCATCCTTCTCAACATGCATCATTGAGTTGAATCAAGTTCAGTAATCGCGGTGGTGCATGATGCAGCACGGTGGTCTTCTTCATATTGCGATATTTCATTTTTGTGGTTACCGCGACAGCCCTATTGCTAACCATGCCCCCTGCCCAGCAGAACTTCGTGCAACGGGAAACTGAGCGCCGACCAGAACTAACCAATAGCGTTAGACTGCCGCTTAGACGCTTCACATTTAAGGAATACCTCGGCTGATGCAGAGGTGATGAACTTTTCACGGACAAGAAAGTCTCCTAAATATAAATATATGAAAACACAACATGACTTGAGAATAATACTCGTAAAACGACGTGTTTTAGCTCTGTTTGTCGGCTACAGAAGCAGATTTATAAACAGAAACGTGAAGTTGCCATTTAAAAAAAACAAAGGAACAGCGGTTTTGTGTGATATGTTTGTCAGCCACTAGATGGTGCCATTGTATAAGAGAAATACTCCGGAAAGAAGCTTCAAGGGACCTGTTGCTGCAGTGAGCAGGGCCCTGGGGAGTTTTCCACATTAGTGTCCTTTATTATTATTCTTCTTTCGCAGTTGTTAATGCGGCTTGATCGGCAGTGTACACCCCTACAAATTATACGTCAAAATGAGCGGCTTGGCCGTGGGAGGAGTGCTATTACTTTTATAAGCGATCTGATTTACCATGGCGAAATTATTAGCAAAAGAATTTCTCATTGTGGGTGTGTGCATATCTCAGTCTGCCTAGCCAGTTAAAACCCTCTTCACTGAAGAAAATTGTTAGGAGTGTGCACCCCCACAAATGTTCCATCAAAACAACCTGCTCGGTTGTGGGAGGAGTGTTATGTCATGATTTAGGGTTTCTTTGGCCTCTACAGCACGTGGCCACTGTCTTGTTCCAGCGGGCAGGTCCCTTTTAAATGTGTTTCAGTAATTTTCTAGTTTTTATTTCATATTTAGAGTGGCGCAGTAACATATGAACAATTTCACTTGAAGTAGAAACATTTCACCTGATGTGGCCCAAATGTACAATCTCTCTCACCTCCCTTCTGCTTAACCTAAACCTGAATTTTTCACCTGCTTGTGCGTGATCAAATGTCTCTGGGGGGGCTTGCTGAACAGGCGGTGGTCATGTGGTTCTGGACTTTTGTCTCAGATGGACGTCTGGCTTCTTTGACGTTGTTCTGGATGAATCTGTGCTCCGCTGCCATACTGTAAAAAACAACAAAAAACACGTCAAGTACGGATAATGTCTGGGTAATGCGACCTCTATAGAGATGTAGAAAAAGAAAAAAAAAGGTCTTTGCCCAAAAGGAAGTGGGAAGTGCCCCTTGCGGCACACTACATACTACCTCATATGCACAATAAACACATTTAATGTAACATCTCTCGGTCTTTACATCTGTAATACAGACTCCAGACCTGCTGATGTCAGGTCAAGACACTGGAGTAGGTTGGCATTTGGATTTCAGTATTTGTTGTAGTGTACTTACAAAATTATGTTGATATTTAAATAAAGTAAGGCTTGAGTACACGGATGCAGGTATCCCATCTGCAGTTAACTTTCTAAATATTGATTTTTATCACTTTTCTGTCCACCTACTTTTGTACCACGTCAGTTTTTCTGATCTAAAGTTAAAGGTTGTAGCAACAGAAGGAACCGGAATCTAGAGCTCATGAATGAGGCCCCATTGTGTCCTCCTGCCTCTGAAACGTTGTCACACTCGGGTGGAGAAGCATCCCATAAAGCTGCCTAGCAGTTAATGAACACAAGACCTGCGTGAAGCTCGTGTTCAAACACAAGCTGGGGCATTCATCTCCATAATGTAGTCTGTAACGGGCTAGTTGAGCGGGGTACAGTTAAACTACTTCCTGAAGAGGTGCAATAAATGTGCAAATCCAGTGTGCACTCATGCATGTGTTGTTGCCAATTTCTTCTGACTCACTAGCTTGTTGATTGCAGTGGTAGTTTAATGTAAAACCTAAATTGGAAGCAGCAGTGTTACTCCAGTTGAAATAATTTTGAATAAACTGTGCAAAGAGTCTAAAATTTTTGGGGTAACTTTTGTTTGACCTTCTCCAAACTGACAAGATTTAAATACAAATCGTGTCCTCAACATATTATTCCACATCACAGGTGTCAAAATCAGGGTGAAATCTGATCTGCAGGATATTTAGATTTAGCCCAGGAGACCATAAATCATCCCCCACTAACCTGAGTGCTTTGCAGCTTTAGCGCATTAGTCAAGACCACAAAGCACTCCATCTTTTCTGTTTACAGTCATTAGCGTCCATGCTACGGTGTCTGTAGCCGTACCTTCCTCAGCCATCAGACAAACTGGAAACTGCTTACTCAGTACAAGTTTACCTGACGGTTTGCCAACTCTGAGCCCAGAAATCTAAATTTCATGCTCAGTAATCAGTTTGCAGTTTGCGTGGAAAGAGCACCAACTAGGGCTGGGCGATGTGGCCTAAAATTAATATCATTATACATACATCACGATAAATGGACGATAACTACAGGTGTGCGCAAAAACAAAAGTTGTCCACTAGATGGGGCTGTCACATGTATTAGTTGAGTCACATTTTTACGTGATTCAAGGTGGTACAGCTTCTTAAAGGGACATGAACGCTGCCAACCTACACACATCTTTTCATTTGTTATTATCAAATTTATTGACATGGGAAAAATTATCAGACATTTCAGTAACGATAAACTTTTGACGGGGCGACAGTGGCACAGGAGTTAAGTGCTCGCCCCGTAATCGGAAGGTTGCAGGTTCGAGCCCCGCTCAGCCTGTCGCTGTCGTTGTGTCCTTGGGCAAGACACTTAACCCACATTGCCTGCTGGTGGTGGTCGGAGGGACCGGTGGCGCCAGTGCTCGGCAGCCTCGCCTCTGTCAGTGCGCCCCAGGGCAGCTGTGGCTACATTGTAGCTCATCCCCACCAGTGTGTGAAAGTGTGTGTGAATGGGTGAATGACTGATTGTGTTGTAAAGCGCCTTGGGGGGTTCCAGGACTCTAGAAGGCACTATATCAAATACAGGCCATTTACCATTTTACCATTTTGATTTATTGCCCAGCCCTAGTACCAACCAACTCCAGATGGAGCTGCTAGAACTCCAGTGTAGAGACACGCGTGAGTCAAATATGACTCTGGGTGCTGCACAGTTCCCATCTTTCCTCACCGGCACAAAGCTCCAACAAAGCTTATCTAGAGGAAAAAAGAAAACATGCACCGAGTTGAGTTTTGCTTCATCCCAGTTTTACCCCCGTTCTATATCCAAGTGTCGTAGTCCTCGAGATCGGTCTTGGTCTCAACCATATTTTTATGTTCTTGGTCTCGTCTTGGTATCAAAGGCATTTTTACTCTGTCCTGTTTTGGTCTTGGACTGGCCGGCTCTGGTTTTTCTAACAAGACCGGTCGAGACCATTGCCGATAGTCTGTTTGTCCATGCCTTACTGATGAGAGAATAACAACTTAAAAGGTTTGGTGGTGTAACCATTTTCCCCAGCTGCCATGGGTGCTGATTTATAGTAGGGCTGCAGCTATCGAAAAGTTTAGTATTCAAATATTCTATTAATATCCCCAGTGAGTCGTGGAGGATGGCTGCTTATACTGAGCCAGGATCCTCTGGAGGTTTCTTCCTGTTAAAAGGGAGTTTTCCTCTCCACTGTCGCTGCATGCTTGCTTAGTATGAGGATTGCTGTAAAGACTCTGACACTCGTCAGAGACTTGATCCAATCTGCTGGGTTCCTTATATAGGAAACTTTTTACTTCTTGGCTTTATGAACTGACCTGTATTGGGATGTTTACCTTGTGAAGTGCCTTGAGACGACTCTAGTCGTGATTTGGCGCTACAGTGATCCCTCGCTACTTTGCGGTTCGTTTATCGCGGATTCATGACTTTGCGGATTTTTTCTTTGGAGCCTTATTCAAGGGAAATTCGCCAATTCGCGGCATTTTTCACCGATTCGTGGTATTTTTCTATGCGAAATATCAAGAAATTCCTGTTTTTTTTCATCAATTTCATTATTAAATGCACTTTTTGTAATAAAACTATAAAAAAACAAGTAAAAATACAGTAAAGGGAGGGTTTTAAAAGTCTGAATACTGAATACGTACCTGTTAAATAAATACTTTAAATATGGTGTCCCTACTTCGCGGATTTTCACCTATCGCGGCCAGGTCTGGAACGCATCTACCGCGATAAACGAGGGATCACCTGTATATAATTAAACTTGTGTTGAATTGAATTATTGATTAATCAAATATTCTATTTGACAACGTTTCAAGTGAAACAAGACTGTGGTCTGCTGCTAGAAATATGCTGCTATAGGCTTAGACTGCTGGAGGTCACACTGACCACTTTCCACACTCTACTACTTTCTTCTACAATCTGCTCTTTAACTGTATTATTTCCTGCTATTTCAGCTGTTAACTTTATTTTTTCCAAGTGTTTTTCTCCCCAGAAGAAGCTACGGTGATGTTCTGCTGAGCTGTGGTAGCCTCATGGAGGGGGCTATCGGCTTGACCACTTTTGCTAACCACTTAAACATTCTCCCTCTCCTGATGACAACATTTTACTTTCTTTGACATACTACTAGTTTAGATTCCAGCAACTCTTTATGAACCAGAGGAGAATCTCCAGAAAACAAACGGTTTCAGTTGTGCGCATAAAGTTACTAGATACCTGGTTACTGTGGTGGGGAGCATGCTCTGATCTTCAGATATATTTTCTTTTCAAAGCTACCTGGCTCTGCCCTTCACTTGTCTTACCCTGGCACAAATTATGAAAATGCTTAATTTACCACCTCCCCTGCAATCCTCTTTATCTGGGGTGTCCATACTCTTCAAGACGAGGTACAAAGTCATCAAGTAAAAATCCTCACATGCTATAAAATATGACTATTTTTATTCCAAAAACACAAAAACTATTTTGTGGTGAGTAGTTTTATTTGCACTGCTCACAAATGCCTAAAATAGACATATTTGTAACTCTAAATGTTAAAAAGCATAGATCTACATCCCCAGCCCACTGAAGATACAAATACCAGTCCAGAGTGGCAAGTGGAGACTACACAAAATCACTCAGAGGGCCACAAATGGGCCCCGGGCCGCATTTTAGACATTTCTACTTTTCATGATATAATCACTGAAGTCATGGACATAATTTGGGGGAAGGGGTGGGGGGTGGGGGGGGGGGGGGTGTCAGGGGGGACATGTCCCCCACACTTTTTCCAAAGTCAAGTTTTGACCCCTGCACTTTTTATCATCCAAAAACAATATTACGCTATATTAAAATGACACTGGATGAGCTCTAGGACCAAGCGGAAAACAACTGTTTGTGTTGAAGCCTGTTTCCCATTAGAGCATACTGTAAAGATACCCCCCCCCCCCCCCCCCCCCCCCCCAAAGTGAAAATTACGTCCATGACTGCAGGGTATCTGCGGGTTCTTAAAAAGTCTTAAATTAGCTTTTCCAAATTTAAGGCCTTAAAAATCCTTTAAAATGACAAATAATCCTTAAATAGAGTTTCCAAAGGCCTTAAATGACCAAAGACCCAATAAACAAGATTCTTTTATTTCTATAAAATTTTCGTGAATTTCTAGTTAGTGTTCAGCGTTTTTTGTGTGTGATGCTGGCGTAAGCGAAATCGTACACATTCGGTTGGTTGTGAAAGGGGGCTATTTTTAGATGAGCACGCTAGTGGGAGTTTTTGCCATGGGGAAGTGCAACATTAATGGTAACTGGATGGCTAATCCCACGTTCGTGACGTGGTTAGCACCGGTTCCAGGTAATAGCTGGAAATTATAGCTTAAATTTAATTTAAAAAAATACCTTAAATTTAGGCCAAGTGGCCTTAAAAAAGGTCTTAAAAAGTCTTAAATTTGGCTCCCTTAAACCTGCAGATACCCTGGACTGAAGTGAAGGCTTGCATCCAAAACTTCCTAGAAAAGATGGTACAGGCTGAAACGGTTCAGTCTCAAAGGAAAAACCAATAGGCTAAATGCCATGGAGAGCTTGCTAGCTCTACTAGCACAGAGAGGAAGCAATGCTAACACTGTTAGCAGAGACTTAGCATTTAAGAAACAACAAGGACTCGTATCTCTGATAACAGTGTTTGTGTTGCTTCAACTGTGCTAGCTTTGGCTGGTCAATCAGCATGTAGCATCATTTCGCCACCCAAAGCAGAAGCTTGTTAACTCACCTTCATTATGGTAAATGGTAAATGGCCTGTATTTGATATAGCGCCTTCTAGAGTTCTTGAAACCCCCCAAGGCGCTTTACAACACAGTCAGTCATTCACCCATTCACTCACACATTCACACACTGGTGGGGATGAGCTACAGTGTAGCCACAGCTGCCCTGGGGTGCACTGACAGAGGCGAGGCTGCCGAGCACTGGCGCCACCAGTCCCTCCAACCACCACCAGCAGGCAATGTGGGTTAAGTGTCTTGCCCAAGGACACAATGACAGCGACAGACTGAGCGGGGCTCGAACCTGCAACCTTCCGATTACGGGGCGAGCACTTAACTCCTGTGCCACCGTCGCCCCAAGGGTTAATGGGCATGCTATTTAAAGCCGTTGTCTTTATTCGAAGGTGGCATCTTAAATACAACCTGAATTATCCTGCTGAGCGTTATCCCTGGCAGGTAAAAACTAAAAAAATTCAGTACAGAACACAAACAGTACTGCCACACGAAAGTGATTCAGCTGGCTTAAGAGTCAGGAAGCGTCAAACCCGTGGTCCGTGGTATAAACTCTGTTGAGGTAACAACACACAGTTCGTACTTCCATCATGCATCTAATAAACAGGCTGGGAGCAGGTTTTTGCCCTTTTGCCTTCAGAACAGCGTTCGTCTTTCACGACCGTTAGGAGTTGTTCTGTTTACTTTGAGGCAAATCAACATTTCACAAATAAAAATGTGTCAAATGAACTGAAACAGATTTACAAACGCCACAGTTTGGTCTGTGTCTGAACTTGCACCTGACATCTATTCGTGAGGGATTTTTTTTTGACTGGTGGAAGCCGACGGACTCATTGCATCTTCTTTCTGTTTGTCAGCCTCTACGACCGTCTCTGAAAAAGGCTGCAAGCGGTCAAGCTACCGGTTCCATGTCGGAGAGCGTCACCGGAGCTGAAGATGGAGAACTTACCGCCAGGGACAGAAGGACGAAGTTTGGCAGACAAACATCACTTTCACAAAGCATCCGAAGGTAAACCTGCTTCCTGCTCCTGATGTCACCCTTAACAGTCCTAAAGCTCAAGAGGATGGAAGCAGAGTGGGTGTTTGGAGGTTTCCCTTACAGTAAACAAGAAATAATACCTTCCTGAGTCAGACAAACGTTTCATTTCCTATCTATCGCACCGCAGGCGTTTCTGATAATACTGAAAGTGTTTCTCAAAAGAGCTTATTGTTACTTTTGGTGTCGTAAAAAATGACATTTGTGACCACACCAGTGGTTGATTAAAGTTTTAGGATTGTGACGGTGTCGTTTCTGCGGCTGTAGGAGTACGGCCCAGTGGTTTGGTGTTGGGGAAGACTGTGAGACGAAGCAGCAGCTGTGGCACAGGAAGAGCCTGCGACACTGCAGTCAGCGCTACGGCAAGCTCAAGGCCCAGTACAGAGAGCCGGACACGGCCACAAGTCTGGACCTGAATCCCGAGTCACCAGCCACCCAGCGGTTACCTAAGGTAGTGGGGGGTGGGGTATCCCTTATCCTGCCTGATGCTGTCTCACTCAGAGCTGGGTGTTCAGAAACATGTCACGTTAGACTTGAAACAAACCTCTTTAACAGCCTTTCACTTCCGGGCCTGGAGATCCGGCACGCTTTGGTTTTACCTGATTTCAATCAGCAGGTGATTAACTGGCTTCTGCAGAGCCTGATGAGCGGCTGCACAAGTGATTCAACCACTCCAGTGTTGGACTAGAGCAGGGCTCTCCAACCGTTTTTGGTCCGTGAGCTACTTTTATACAGTGAAAGTACAGAAGAGCCGCCGCCGTACGGTGACTTAAGCCTGATTTATGCTTCTCCGTCTGCGTCAGTGCGGAGACACGCAACGCCATTATCCGTCCTTGCGTAGGGCTCCGGCAGGCACGCAAGTACGTACGGAGTCGAGCCCACTTTTTTAAACATCTGTCGAACGAGACGGATTCCGCAAGCTTGTGATTGGTCAGGACGCCGCTGTTGTTTACAGCGCCGCCATGGCAAAGAGAGGCGAGGATAACTAGCGGCAGACACGGAGAAGCTTGAAGAATACCTCGCGAAAAAACTCTAAAAATAGGAACGCTTCATCCTCCCGTGACTGGAGGAGTGAAAAGATGCGCAGCAAGTGTTTTATTTGTGGACGGAAATGACAGGAAACGTGGGTTTAGAGGTGGGGAGCGCATGAAGCGGTGGGAGAATGAGAGACAAATATGTCCGTGTTAAAAGTCTCTTATATACACAAAAAACACAATATAAACACACGATCTTGGACCGATACATGACAGGATACCACAGAACAGCGCTACACCCTCTGTTGTCCTGCCGGGCAATTGCTTTGCAACACTCCCCAGGAGACGGAGAAGTATGAGAGCATAACGCTTCCGTCAATCCGTGCGTGCCTGTCCCTTGCGGAGCTGACGGAGAAGCATAAACCAGGCTTTACCCCAAAATTCCACTATCTCCGCTCCGCTCCGCCCCCGCTTTCCGCTGCCGCTCGCTTCCAAACAAATTTTTACTGGTACCCGCTCTACAATGGCTCCGCCCGGTGCGGAGACCTGAGGTGCGCAAACAGGCATGCGCGGGATTTTCGAGATCTTGCGATACAGCCCGAGCAATAAACGCGGAAGTTAGATCCAAACACCCGTTGTGTGGGAGAAGCATCAACATGAACTGTTTAATCTGCCCATCATTTGTGTTGAGAGATCAGCAGTGTTTGGATCAACAAAGGGCGATTACTTTGATAGCAGAAACTGTAATTATGGCTTATTTTTGTGCATTTAAAGTTCAGCCGCCATTGATAGTTGTTAAAAGTTGTTAAACCTGTGCATATGAAACAAAAAATGCTTTTTGTTTATCGATTTATTGTGAAATAACGGAAGTTGTGCTTGCTCCTTTTCCTGTTGGGCGGTTGTGATTCCTGTCCATTTACTGCGGAGGTGCTCCGGCGTCCGGCAAAAATAGAATCGATCCTATTTTTACCGGATGGCGGAACGGCTGCAGTAGTGGAACAGCTCTGATTGACTACAACGGGACCGTTTTTGTTTCGGAGTTCGTGCCGGAGCGGAGCGGAGATGGTGGAATTTTGGGGTTAGTGAAACTCCTCATGTGTGAAAATGCTTCTACGTTAAATGCTATGTTTACTATATTAACATGCATTGCATTCGCTAGTTGATTCCTCTGTGTTTCAATACATCAGTGTTATAAAAAAAATAGTGACGTTCTGTAAATCAAAGTAAACAAAACATTTTGTTTTTTAACTAATCAGGTACTCTCAGATAATGAAATACAAACCTACTTTGTGTGAATGATGTGACGTTTTTGTTAGAATGGATCAGTAACGTCACTTTTTGAGCACAAAGGGACATCTAACCTGTTCCTGTTCAGCCCCTGCCTCTGAGCCCTGCCCTAATATCAGTGTTTCATAGTTTTCAGCTGTTTTGTCTTAAATGAACAAATGCTTCTATAAACTATAGAATGCCTGTTTCTTTAAAAGTCGTGTTATGATCATTTTTCCAAACAATGCTACACAATTCTCATAAAACGAATAAAGCCAGACATATTTTAAATAAAATACAAGCTAAATTTGATGAAAACACAAATCTAAATAGTTAAAACTCGAGTAAAAATCTAAAAACAGAAATAACATTTCTTCCTGCTTTTCTGATTAATAATTTTTATCTTTGTTTGGGTGTTTTTCTCTCTCACAAAAATGAAGTTTAGCTCCAATAAATGGGTTTTTGTTGACAATACAGTAATCCCTCGTTTATCGCGGTAGATGCGTTCCAGACCTGGCCGCGATAGGTGAAAATCCACCAAGTAGGGACACCATATTTACAGTACAGTACTATATTGAATTATCATATGATCACATTCTCTTTTTGTGGGTAAAACTCAAGAAAAACATTTTTTTACTTGTTTTTTTTAATAGTTTTATTACAAAAAGTGCATTTTATGATGTAATTGATGGAAAAAAAACAGGAATTTCTTGATATTTCACATAGAAAAATACCGCGAATCGGCGAATTTCCCTTGAATAAGGCTCCAAAGAAAAAATCCGCAAAGTCGTGAATCCGCGATAAACGAACCGCGAAGTAGCGAGGGATCACTGTATTAAAATAAGTTTCTCCTTTTCCTCTGCCGCTGGATCCTGGCGGCTGTGCAACACGGAGCAGAGAGAGCTGTAAAAACTGTGTTTTATTACTAAACGGGACAATCAGATGAAACTGTTGAGGGAAACGTGCTGTAACTAAATCACAGGAGAGGTCCAGAGTTTGAAAGCCTGTGTTCATCATGTGTTCATAAACGAACAGCACTGAATTAGCGTTAACGGGCTGTTACCACAGGTAGGACTCTACGTCACCCAGATAGTTTTACTGAAGATGGTTTTCTGAAGCCAGGTCTGTAGAACCGACGTCACCCGTCTTCTTTAGAAGCGTGTCTTCATCCAGATCGGAAACGGGGATCCGTGCTGCAGCCCGAGCACTCAGTCCGCGCTTTAGTAGTAGAACACATTTGCAGAAAGATTTGTGCAATAATCAGATTTTTATTTTACTTCCACAAAAGGCTAATTTTAGATTAGATGTTACGGAAAACAAGAAGGCTTGCCATCAAATTTAAAAGCCGTCCGGGCAGGAATGGAGGGCTCCCTGCCGGCTGCTTCCAGGCGAGCGACTTTCAAGAGCGACGTGTTGGAGACTCCTGGACTAGAGAAACCACGCAAACGTGCTGGCCCTCGAGGCCCAGAATTGAATAGTCCTTCTCTTTAGGCCTCAGGTTTTGACTCCTCTGCTCCTCTGAGTCAAACTCGATCTAACGAGGAGCCACAGTGGGTGTGTTGTGGTATAGTGCTCCTGTAAGGGTGAAGGGTTGTCTTCACAGATCGTGGACCCCCTGGCACGAGGACGGGCTTTCCGTTGCCCAGATGAGGTGGACAGTCGCTCCCCCAGGACGCCCTACACTGCTTCGTGGGTTCCCGTCACACCGGGGGTCACTTCCCTCAGCTCCTTCACCAGTCAGCGCTCTGGGTACGCCCGCCTCCCCAGACGGAAGAGGGAGTCTGTGGCACGCATGAGCATCAGAGCTGCGTCCAACCTGCTGAGGGTAAGTCCAGCTCCAGAAGAGAGTTGTCTTCTTTTATTTTTATTTGAATTTCATACTTTTCCTTTCTTCTAAACTCTAGACTTGGCAAAGATGTTTAGTATGAAGTTTAGGAAAGTCATCTTCAAGCTGTCTAATGCATTATTTCATGTGTTTGGTTTGGCGGGTGGTGGTCAGGGCCGCAGTGGCTTGGCTGGCTCACAAACCGCCCGCAGTTTCCCCAGGAGGAGCTTTGTCCGGCCCAGCTGGATGGATGAGGACACGGTGGACTTTGCAGACACGTCTGCATCTCTGATCATCAACAAGGTCAGCTGCTGCTCCCTCGCCTTCACCTTAGAGTTCCCGTGTCTGTTTACGTCATCGCTTCTGTTTAATGAGCCATATTCTCAGCTTCCTTAAGCTTGGTTTATGCTTGACGCATTCACTTTCCGCGCGGTGATGCGGCTCGCGGATGGAACGCGCTTCACAACTCGCAGCGTTTATGGTTCATGCGGCTCGTCTCTGCAGTGAGCCAATATTCTCCCAAACTGTAGGGGGCAGCATGGAGCTCTACGGCATGCATCCAACACTACACCATAGTAGAAGTAGAAATTACTGTTTACAACATGGCATTTCAGCATTTTTAACAGCGTCCTCGTCTTTTCCGACAGTGCGAGCTATTTCTCTCCAAGAATTATTAACTACATGTTGATCACGGTGATCTCTGAGAGCTGAATCATACAAATGTCTGTATTTACCAACCTCTGCCATACTAGTTCTTGCCGGTCCGCCATGTTTTTCCGCGTCCGTCCCTCCGCGTGGTTAGAAATTTTCCGAGGTGCGCGTTGCGGAAATCTTGAGCCGTGCGGAGACGCGGTGGAGGGGCGTGGTCGTTAAAATGACGCAAAATGACGCAACTTTTCCGCGCGGAGCCGTGCGGACCTCGCGGACGCGTCAAGCATAAACCAACCTTTACTTTGGCTCCTTTCCCAACGTTCCCGGCGGTTTTCCTTTTTCACCCTAACCATTTCCCCTCATCGTTCTGTCTCCTGTAGCAGAATCAGATCTGTAACTGCGCTCCGTTTTTACTGCCTTTGTTCTGTAGGATGACGTCCCGTATGAGATGTACTCGATGGCTGATGACGTCTTTGAATCTCCTCCCATGTCGGCCTCTTTTGCTCCTGCTGAGCAGCTTGACCAGAAGTTCCCCAGCCTGTGAGTAAAAACTCAGCTGGAGTCACTTTACTTTGACAATTCTCACAGTTTGAGACAAAATGTTTATTGACCCTCCCACTGTCTTCATGGGTGACCCCGCGAGGAAAGTTGACCATTGAGCAGGATTGATGGTTTACAGGGTATCCGCGGGTCCTTAAAAAGTCTTAAATTTGCTTTTCCAAATTTAAGGCCTTGAAAATCCTTAAAAATGACAAATAATCCTTAAATACAGTTTCCAAAGGTCTTAAATTACCAAAGACCCAATAAACAAGATTCTTTTATTTCTATAAAATTTTTGTGAATTTCGAGTGTTCAGCATTTTTTGTGTACGATGGTTGGCATAAGTGGAACCGTACACATTCAGTTGGTTGTGAAAGGGGACTATTTTTAGATGAGCACATTAGCTGGTTAAGCTAGTGGGAGCTTGCGCCATGGGGAAGTTCAAGTTTAATGGTAACTGGATGGCTAATCCCACATTCGCAACATGGTTAGCACCGGTTCCAGGCAATAGCTGGAAATTATAGCTTAAATTTAATTAGAAAAAATTGCTTAAATTTGGTCAAAGTGGCCTTAAAAAGGTCTTAAAAAGTCTTAAATTTGGCTCCCTTAAACCTGCAGATACCCTGGTTTATCCCTTGAGGTCCATGTGGCAGGGGTGAGGTGGTGCTCACTCGTCACCCCTGCCACCGTGGACCCAAGGGATAAACCATCAACCCTGCTCAATGGTACACTTTCCTCGCGGGGTCACACCCATTAGGACAGTGGAAGGGTTAAGGTACTGTCCAAAGGTAGACGAGTTGTTGCTGTGACCGTTGTTGTGCCAAGCAGGCCTTTGGGAGTCAGTAATCTACGATGTAAACAAACTCTAATCTTGTTCTTTTCCATTTTTCTTTCCTCCCACTTACGCTCCTCTTCTCATTCCCAGTAAGGATGTGTCTCGGGCCCCCAAAACTCCCACCTCGGTGCCTGAAAAGATCCATCCCCGTCGAGGGAGGCGCATCGCTTCCCGTGTGAAGCACTTTGCGTTTGACAAACAGAGGCGCCAGTATGGAATGGGTGTTGTAGGAAAGTGGCTGAATAGACAGTATCGACACAGCCTCAGCAGCAACATCCAGAAGCAGCTGGACGACTTCCACAGCCACAGGTAGGGACCACCAACCTTTGTTATGCTTAAGTGCTTCTGAAACGACAAACAGGACATGAAATCTGCAGAAGGAATCGTAAACTGTAATAGATATTTGCTCATGGCTAGCAGATGAAAAAATGGTGTCATTAAACCATTTTGTGCCTGTGGTGTGATGTGTAGCCGTACTGATTCCCAGGTATGTTCTCCTGTGTGGTTCCAGGCCCTACTTTACCTACTGGATTACTTTTGTCCATGTAGTCATCACACTGCTGGCCTGCTGCACGTACGGGTTCGCCCCCGTAGGGTTTTCACAGAACTCCAAAACTGAGCTGGTGAGTTTAAAATCCAACTTTAGCGTAAAACACAACGTGGAAATGGACGATTCAGCAAAAACATCACACCAGGAGTTTTTAACATGGAAATCAAGGTTTAGTTTTAATGTTTTACTTGATAATTTACTATTATGCAAGGTACTGAGTAGTGCCAGTAAACGCATAAGTAAATAAAAAATACTACTGTGCTATTTAAGACAAATGGTTTCTGAATACAGTGATCCCTCGTTTATCGCGGTAGATGTGTTCCAGACCTGGCCGCGATAGGTGAAAATTTGCGAAGTAGGGACACCATATTTACAGTATTTATTTAACAGGTACGTATTCAGTATTCAGACTTTTAAAACCCTCCCTTTACATAGTACTGTATTTTTACTTGTTTTTTCTTATAGTTTTATTACAAAAAGTGCATTTTATGATGAAATTGATGAAAAAAAAACAGGAATTTCTTGATATTTCGCATAGAAAAATACCGCGAATTGGTGAAAAATACCACAAATCTGCGAATTTCCCTTGAATAAGGCTCCAAAGAAAAAATCCGTGAAGTCGTGAATCCGCGATAAACGAACCGCGAAGTAGCGAGGGATCACTGTATATTTTTATTATTTTGTCAATTTTGCAATTGATAGATTGAGAGTGGCTCTCCTTTTTAACTTCACAATTAGGTTTTTAGTCTCACTGCTGGGAATGCAACCAAGTACAAGTACTTAAATATGAGTACTAAGGATTACACTCGTTACAGATTAAGTAACACATCGGCTGTGGTCTCTAGTATAAATGAATGCCTTGTGAGTTGATCTCTGAGGGGAAAAAAGTTCTGGTGCTCCTATTTCAGGAGCTAGAGGTGAGCACCAGCAGAGATGATATTTGGACCTCTTACCTCTGATTGGATAGTGGCAACGGGACCCTCCCAGTGACTCTGTTTACTTTGCAATGTTGATGTTCTATCTCCACAAAAAAACACAAGCCCCGTCTGGTTTAACTTAGTCTTTTATACCCTTATATATTGTTTGTTTTCATTACGCACATTAAACCTAACCTTAAAGGGGTACTATGCAACTTTTTCATATTTTTAAATAATTCCCTTCAGCCAGTATGTGCTAAAATGACCTTTACATGATAAATGTAAGGCCACTCAGACCCCCACCGCCCACTGTGGCCATAATATCACACTTACGGAATATCACGGTCCGGTCCCTGTTGGTGGAGGGAGCTGTGGAGTGAAGTGGAGCTAACATGGTGGAGCTGCAGCCTGCTTTCTGCATGTTTTAGATCATGAGCACAGCTGATTTGTTGCATTTAGTGATAAATCACTCCTGCAGACACTAATGAAGGCCGAGGAGACATTTCAGAAGTTAGATTAGGGTGTTAAAAAGACAACCCCACAACGAGGAGATGTGTTTCATTTTCGGTATACCTACAGAGAACTAATAACGGACACTTGGGGGTGAGGATGGAACTGCAGTTTTTCCTACTTCTGTGTTGGCTTCATTTTCACCTCAGAATTATGGGGGCCTGATCACAACCAGTAACGTTTGAGTGAATTCGGGCCAGCAGTAGCTCAACAGGTTGAGCGGGTTGTCCAATAATCGGAAGGTTGCAGGTTCGATCCCGGCTCCGGACAGAGAATTCTGCTGTTGTGTCCTTGGGCAAGACACTTAAAGCCGGGCGGACACTGTGCGACTTTTTCACTCGTAGCACTCAGCTTCAGCTCAAACTGTACGACTTCCTCGCAGGGCAGATCTCACGAGTCATGTGCTCACACTGCATGACCCAGTTCTCGCATGCGACCTGACTGCTCACACTGTACGTCTGATAGCAACACGTCGGCCCTAAAAATATGCTAAAAACAGCAGATTTTACACAACACGCTAGACTTTTTTGTCTTGTTTTGCCTGTTGTCCTTCGGGAGTGCTGCAGGAGGACACACAGGGATTTATGGGGGTTGGATGAGGAAAACGAAATAAAGAAAGTAAATCTGTGTTTTATGATCAGTTTAATTTGACATGAACACGACAAACACGCTTTCTTGACAATCTTTGTGAGTAGAAAAACGTGTAGAAATTAAAACGAACATCGTATGTTATTAGGGAAATAGCGGGCGAGCGGTGTTGATGCAGGATTGCGCATGCGCCGTGAGCGGTTCTGATACTTTTTGGGTCGCAGCTGCTCGCAGCGCCGCTTCAACAGTGCGATACCCTCACGAGGGACGAGCAAATTATCAAACACGCCAGAAGTTTGTGCGAGCTCACGATTGCTTATCGGTAGCTGGTCACGTGGTGCTAATCGCCTCTCGTAACCCCCTGTACACTACACGACGCTCGGCGCAAAACTCGCCCCGATCTCGTGGATTCTTGCACGAGTGGAAAATCGGCTCAAAAAAGTGAAAAAGTCGCACAGTGTACGCACGGCTTAACCCACGGCTTAACCCACCTTGCCTGCTGGTGGTGGTTGGAGGGTCCGGTGGCGCCTGTGCTTGGCAGCCTCGCCTCTGTCAGTGTGCCCCAGGGCAGCTGTGGCTACATCGTAGCTCATCCCCACCAGTGTGTGAATGTGTGTGTGAATGGGTGAATGATACACTGTACTGTAAAGCGCTTTGGAGTCCTTACTCTGAGAGGCGCTATACAAGTGCGTGTCATTTATCAATTCTCCTGGTTTTAAATCTTCTCTGTCTTGTTGCACCTCTCTGTCGCCCCCTGTAGGTGCTGAGAAACAGAGGCATCTATGAAAGTGTCAAGTTCATTCAGCAGGAGAACTTCTGGATCGGTCCCAGCTCTGTGAGTGACTCGATGGTCTGATGATGCCACACCACTTCTGTTCTCTGCGTAGAATAAAACTCTGGGCTTCCATTCATCTGGGGGCCTGATTTTTAACGTGTTACTTTGTAAATGTTTACTGTTTTGTGTGTGGTGTTTGAACAACCTCTGTTCAGAGAAATGGTTATATTCTGTAGGATTGTTAAGCTAACAGCTAGTCTGATTGCAGCCAAGACCAAAGCAGATTGTTTCCGTCTCTTAACGGCTCTGATCTAAACATGTCTACGGTTCCTTCAAATGTCGTGTTAATTGTTATTTTCTGCGTCACGAGTTGGCTTCGGGGCTGTAAAACGCTAACGATCCGTGACAGAACACTTCCATCTTGTTTGTACCGTGGCATTCCTGCCTGGCTTGAGAAAAGGACGACCCACTTTTAGCTACGATTAGGGATGGGTACCTTTGACATTTGAATCGATTCGGTACTAATTCCCGGTACCTAGGACTCGATACCGGTACTTAACGGTACCAATTTTCGATACTTTTGAGTATTTAATATTTTAATTCTCTTTTATAATAAAAATATATATTTTTCTCAATATATAACAATATTTGATAAATATCACTATAAATAACATACAACTGTTTGTATTTTAACATCGTCCTTGTAGTTTTATAAGCTGATAATTAAACTGAAGCAAACATCTTTACTGTGAACTAAATTTACTGTGTATCTTCATTCCTTTTGCCGTCCTTTTTCATTTGATTTTTCCTACTGGGAAGTTAGAATTTCCGAGGAGAAAGCGAACGCACCATTAGCAGATAACAATGGTGGCAATGGAAGCTAACATATCAAGCTAACGTTATCTTAAACAGTTTATTTAGCTGCTGGAGCAGATTAAAACGATGATGCCTCACACTTAGATTGTTGTCGCTGGTTTCATCTTCACCCAATCACTCGTCGCATTTAGTAAAGTGAAGCCAAACTTTAGAGCGCGTTCATGTTCTAGTCGGAAATTCGGAGTTCCGAGCAGAAAGCGAACGCACCATTAGCGGAACGGAAGCCAACATATCAAGCTAACGTTATCTTAAACATTTTATTTACCTACCGGAGCAGATTAAGATGAGGATGTCTCACTTAGATCGTTGTCGCTGGTTTCATCATCACCCAGTTACCCATCACATTTAGTGAAGTGGACCCAAGCGTTTGCGTGCGTTCTTTCTACCATGCTGCTCTGTTTACAACTGGTTCGCAGCGAGCGACGATATAACGCTCTTGCGCATGCGCAGCTGTCTTGGCAAGTTCTCGTTATGAAGGACGGGTACCGAAACGAGGCACCGTTTGAAATGACGTGAATCTGTGCTCAATCGGTACCATGGAATTCGGTCTGTACCGTAAAAAGTACCGTATTCGGTACTAGAGGTGTGAATCTTCACTTCTCTCCCGATTCGATTCGATTACGATTATTGGGTCAACGATTCAATTCGATTCGATATCCCGATGCATCACGATTATTTCATATTGATTTGTTTTCATCGATAAATAGAACATGTCAGATAATTGCTTTTTTTTTTAATCAAAAACGTAATTGATACAACCTGCCATCCCTCAAAAGCTCTCCATTCACAACAGGTTAGGACAAAACATTTTAAACATTTAAGAAGATTTAACAAAGTAAAACATCTGTTTCCTCATTCAACACCACGCCTCAGGCTGAGAAAACACGCTTTGCAAAATCTCACAAAATCTGAAAAAGTACTGAAAACCCACAGGACACAACATACAGTAATAATCAGATACAATAATGGGTTCATATATGAGTATTTAATGTCTCTGAGCAGCTCTAGAGTCAAATATTTATGCCGCAGTTGAAGGGTGTCAGAAATAACACCAAATTAAATGTTTGACTTAGTTTATTTTATTTGAACCCAGTGGTTCATTTCTGAAATGTTGGAGAATGAATCAAGTTCTGTTTGATGCAGAAAATAAAACATAAAACTAATTATACACTTCCAATAATATTTAAGATGTGTATTTTATTCTTTCTGATAATAACACCAGCAGAAAGCTGTGGGCTGGATTAGGATTAAATTACCCAGCTCATGGATCAGCTTCACTAACCAGCTAACTACAAACCTTTCCACTAACCTGTCCCGTGTAACCCTCACCCTCATGTCCATGCTGTCTCAGGAGGAGCAGATAGGAGACAAGATCTCCTGTAACTTAAAATGAACCAAAGCTTCCTCCCAGTTTTTTAAAATAGAATTTAACGTCAGTTTATCATCAAGAAACAAAAGAATAAAGTGGAACAAGAACTTCTTTCTTCTATTTCTCTCTTCTTTTAATTTCTCAGTGTCCCTAAATAAAAGACAGACGATCACTCTGCAGCCGCCGTCATTGACCCCGCCCCCTCCCCAAGACCGGATCTCTCTACATTACAACAAGCAGTCTGACTGAGCGCTTCCAGGAGAAATAATAATTAAATTATGAAAATAATAATGCGTGTTTGGAGCATCGGTTTGGAGGGGCGTCCTCCGATCCTCTCTCTTGTGTGAGCAGCCGGCGGAACCACTTGGTAAATGTGGAGGAAGCTCACTCTGACAGATGTGGATCTGCGCTGATGCCGCCATTAAAAAAACAAAACTACATTCCACCATAATCGATTATGGCGTACTCTTCTACGATGCAGAATCGTTTATGTCCGCATCCCGATGCATCGATTATTTTATTATTTTCCTCAGCTCTATTCGGTACCCATCCCTAGCTACGATAACATATTTAAAAAATATTTACACAGAAACACACTTGAAAAGGTTTGATGTTACTCTTTAAGGAGCTTTGTTGTATCATTTCCTCCAATTCATTGATCAAAAACATTCAAATACCAGCAGATTATTATTGTTTTGCTTCACGCATCTAACATTTAATTTGATAACTGAAGGATGAACGAGCAGCATGTCCTTATGTGTGAATATTTACTTGTTCTAACATATAATGATTCTAAATAGCTAAAGATGCCTTTCTCTGCTCACTTGCCTCCACCGCTACCATTTATTCATATTTACACTTTCCCTGTGAACTCCCAGGAGGATCTGATTCATCTGGGGGCCAAATTTTCCCCTTGCATCCGTCAGGACCAACAGATCATCAGCCTGATCCAGAAAGCCAAAGACCTGGAGAAGGACTCTGGCTGCTGCATTCAGAACGACAACTCTGGCTGTGTGCAGACCCTCCGATCCGGCTGCTCGGTACCTTCTGTTCATCTGCGTTTACCAGAATCGGCTCATCCAGCATAGAAATGTTGAGAGAGAACAGGAAAAATGTTTAATTGTTTAACTGCAATAACTTGATGTAGGAGACGCTGGCCACTTTCCTGAAGTGGGACAATGAGTATGTGGACATCAAGAGGTCTTCTGGCTCCGTCTGCCATCAGGACCCCAGGTGAGGACACCATATCTAACCATCCTGTCTGAGTAGACGGTACATCCGGCATCACAGAAACACTGCATAGTAATACTAAAGCAACGAGCATCACCTGTTTGAGCTGACATGTCCTCCATCTTTCATCCTGTGGTCAGAGTGTGCGAAGAGCCAGCCTCTGCAGAGCCTCATGTGTGGCCTGATAACATCACCCAGTGGCCGGTGAGGGGAAATGCTGCTAGCTTAGATGATGTCCTTTAATTAGCTCTCAGTAGAAACCCTTTATTTTGTACAGATGGAAACATTTACTCAGTCTCTGTCTCTAATCACTCGTCCTTTGGTAGATCTGCACGTCTCCTAAGAAGTGGAACCTCACAGGCTACAGACACATGGACTGTGATATCAAAGGAAGACCTTGCTGCATAGGAACTAAGGGCAGGTAGGATTTATTTTGTTTTCTAATCTTGTTGTTGCTGAGCTGCCTCGTTGCCTCTGGGGTCATGCGGCGTGAAACCTGAAGTAAACTCTGGTTTCTTCCTGCTGCAGATGTGAGATCACAACCAGAGAGTATTGTTCCTTCATGCATGGATACTTCCACGAGGAGGCCACTCTCTGCTCACAGGTAAGTGTGTGTGTGTGTGTGTGTGTGTGTGTGTGTGTGTGTGTGTGTGTGTGTGTGTGTGTGTGTGTGTGTGTGTGTGTGTGTGTTTGAGTATATTTCTGAGCACAGCTTTCTGACGCAGGTCCACTGTCTGGATGAAGTGTGCGGCTTGTTGCCGTTCCTGAACCCCGAGATTCCTGATCAGGTCTACAGACTGTGGCTGTCCCTCTTTCTTCATGCTGGGCAAGTGCTGAACCACTCGTCTGTCACTAAATGGATGAATGAATGCATTTTAACTGGATGCATTTTCAGTGCCACACAAAACCAGTTGAAAAGGATGTTTCACATGACCCGTGTTGTCCCTCACAAACACACTCGCTGCCCCACACTCTGTGTTTGGTTCTGGTCGACTTATAAAGTCTTAGTAAAGTCCTGAAAGAGCTGAAATTGTATGGAGACAGCTGAGAGGATCAAGTCATCGAATCTCCCGGTCAATTGCCCCCCCTCCCAAAAATTTCCCGGAACGCCAATAAAGGAAAGACGGCTCGTGAAGTTTGTTTTTCTTTAAGTCTTTTGAATCACTGGCTTTGAGTAATGACTCAGATCTTGTCACAATCTCATAGGACTGAAACCAGATGACATGAGACTTGTGTGTGAGCGGTAAACTCACATGAGTTCTGAAATAGTTGGAGTTAATACCGAGCACAAGGGAAATCCCTCAGGTTTACCCCTCTAGCTCAGGCAAGCAAACAGACCAAAGCTGCTTAGCTACAAAAACCCAGATTTGATTCAAATCAGTGATCGAAATACCACAGTTCAGCATTTTTCACCCTCTAACTGCTGTGTGTGTGTGTGTGCGTGTGTGTGTGCGTGCGTGTGCATGTGCGTGTGTGTGTGTGTGTGTGTGTGTGTGTGTGTGTGTGTGTGTGTGTGTGTGTGTGTGTGTGTGTGTGTGTGTGTGTGTGTGTGTGTGTGTGTGTGTGTGTGTGTGTGTGTGTGTGTGTGTGTGTGTGTGTGTGTGTGTGTGTGTGTGTGTGTGTGTGTGTGTGTGCGTGTGTGTGTGTAGACTCCTGCACTGTGTGGTCTCAGTAGTGCTCCAGATGACCATACTGAGAGACCTGGAGAAGCTGGCTGGTTGGGTCCGCATCTCCATTATTTACATCTTCAGTGGCATCACTGGGAACCTGGCCTCTGCCTTGTTCCTGCCCTACAGAGCTGAGGTGAGCAACCTTAATGTGCACTGGCATGCACGCGTGGGCACCAGCTACTCTGAGTTCTTAACAAACCTGAAATTAAGGCTAAGCAGAATGATTAGGGCTTCATTAAAGGGGACACGTGTAAACCTCACATTTTCTTCCATTTTGTGTGGATCTCTATTTCAAACTCCAAACATCAATAAAAAAACCATCCAACCATTTTCTGTCAGTGTTTGGTTTCAGGAATTACTGAATGAGGTGACCGCAAATAACCCTTATTGTGATGTCACAATGAGGAAATTTAGCATTGAGATTAGGACTCAGTGAAGAGTTTTTTTATTTTGATTTAAACTCCTCTGGTTATTAAAGCCCTTAACGGTTAATACGCTGTTAACAATGAGTTTAGAGCTGTTTTAAGGTGGAAACCACCTACTTTGGCCTTGGTTGTGTGAACCAGCTGTTTCTTGTTTGGTTTTTTTGCGCCTTCTGCATCTCGTTCTGTTTGTGCCATATTTCTCTCTTTTTTTACTTGGTGACCAGTTATGCCAGATGTGGTAGATAAAAGTGCAAGAAACTACTAAAACATGATCAGAACAACCTCGTTTTTACGGTCAGGTCTGCTCTGAGCTCTGTGGTGGCGTAAAGCACACTTTCCTCACTAAGCGATTAGTCTAATGCTATTGTGAGAGTTAACGAAGGCTGTTGGCTTGGCGCTTGGCGAAGGGATTACAAATTATAGTTTAGACAAAGACATTAGTAGCACAGCTCCCTCTTGTCTGGTGATACCTCTGGTCTACACGTGTTCACAAACACGTTTGTTGTGGTGATCACATGAAGTCCCTCCTCTCCCATGGGGTCTATAATTATAGCAGATATGTTAAATGAACACATGATTAATAAATACTTGTTTGATTTTAATTTCATCAAGATTTGGCTTTGAGTTTCCGCCTATATGATGGATGATCCCCTTATGGAGCTATATTAAAGAGTAACGTGAGGTAGGGATGGGTACCTTTGACATTTGAATCGATCCGATACTAATTCCCGGTACCTAGGAATCGATACCGGTACTTAACGGTACCCATTTTCGATACTTTTGAGTGTTTATTATTTTAATTCTCATTTATAATTAAATATATATTTTTCTCAATATATAACAATATTTGATAAATATCACTATAAATAACATACAACTGTTTGTATTTTAACATTGTCCTTGTAGTTTTATAAGCTGATAATTAAACTGAAGCAAACATCTTTACTGTGAACTAAATTTACTGAGTATCTTCATTCCTTTTGCCGTCTTTTTTCAATTGATTTTTCCTACTGGGAAGTTAGAATTTCCGAGGAGAAAGCGAACGCACCATTAGATGATAACAATGGTAGCAATGGAAGCTAACATATCAAGCTAACGTTATCTTAAACAGTTTATTTAGCTGCTGGAGCAGATTAAAACGATGATGCCTCACACTTAGATCATTATCACTGGTTTCGTCTTCACTCGTCACATTTAGTAAAGTGAAGCCAAACTTTAGAGCGCGTTCATGTTCTAGTCGGAAATTTGGAGTTCTGAGGAGAAAGCGAACGCACCATTAGCGAAACGGAAGCTAACATATCAAGCTAACGTTATCTTAAACATTATATTTACCTACCGGAGCAGATTAAGATGAGGATGTCTCACGTAGATCGTTGTCGCTGGTTTCATCATTACCCAGTTACCCATCACATTTAGTGAAGTGGACCCAAGCTTTAGCGTGCGTTCTTTCTACCATGCTGCTCTGTTTACAACTGGCTCGCAGCGACCGACGACATAACGCTCTTGCGCATGCGCAGCTGTCTTGTCAAGTTCTTGTTATGGACGGGTACCGAAACGAGGCACCGTTTGAAATGACGTGAATCGGTGCTCGGTCGGTACTATGGAATTCGGTCGGTACCTTAAAAAGTACTGAATTCGGTACCCATCCCTAGCGTGAGGTGACTCTTGGTGTGACACGACCAGTCAAGATAACCAGGAATAGCCAGAGGAAGCACATGTACTGCACGACACACCGCGGTCAGTCCACTTAAAGAGGTGCTTTAGGAGGATTATCCCGTTGGTGTTAAGCCACGGAGCCCTGAAGCTTTTGGAAAAAAGACCCAAACCGCAGCTCTTAGAATGGAATGAGAGTATTAAGAGTAAGTAAGGAAGCATTAGAGCAACTCTGCAAGGACCAGGATAAAGTCTCGAGAGAGAGAGAGAAAAATGTCTTGCAGCCACTCAATAATTGATGAATAGGTTCCTGTGGAGGAGCTGGATTTGTGAAAGAGGACAAGCTGGCCTCGAAGGAACCAGCTGAGGGGCAGAAAGTTACCAGGAACAGCAGCACAACGCCAGATAAAAATCAGCATTTAAAATTAACAGAAACGACGCTGGAACTCTGTACTTGCTTTTGTTAAACGTGTTTTAGATGATGATTATTGGGACAGAAATTGTGCACTCTTCTTCTTTTCATTGGTATTGTGGGCTATTACAAGGACCTCGCTGCCCCGTACTTTTTAAATCTTTATCATTTTCATGTTGCTGTATAAAAAGTAGATGTAGTGCAGCAAACTAGAAAATAGAAACACATTTCCTTAAACTAAAACATGTAAAAGCTCCAGCATTATATGTTCACACCTGTGTTTTTGTGGCTGCCATCTTGAATTAGAAAATCAGTCAAAAGGCAAAAACATTACCATCCTACTGCTGACTTACACACATTTACTCAGTGAAATGTTTTTGTTACCCTATATTCATCATGAATTAGTTGCTTCATAACAGAATTGTCTTTACCTCCAGTTATGAAAACAGACAGAATGTAGATTAACTTTAATCCAAACAGATTAGCCTTTAAATAACAGTTGGTGTCACTTTCACTAATAAATCTAGACTTAGTGGTGTTGCCTGTAGCAGAAATTAAGAATGTATTTTTGGTTACAGTAAGAAGTGTTTGAGAATGTTCCAGTTCAGTCCAGATGAAATGTGTCAAGGAAACACTTTGTGGAAACAGGAAGTGGAGATTACAGTGGTGACTCTTGCCAGGAGGAATTAGACTGAGGAGGTCGTTCTGTCTGTCTGGATAGGAGCCGGTTGGAGACAAAGCTCTGTCGTTCACAGACAGCCTCGGACTAACCCTAGGAAATATATTTGTGTGAACAACCAGACTCTACTGATGAAGAAGTGATGTTTAAAAGAACAGAGAGGCACAAATCTAACTCTTTTGTTGCCTTATCATAGTTTAAGCATCAATTAGTAGTTATTTTGTTTGAGCATTATTTTGGGTCTCAAGTACATCTACATGAAGTTGCCAAGACCATTAAACGTTTACCTGTTTATTAATTTCACAGATTCTTCAGTCCACCGGTGTTGGCTGGATCATACCTGAAAGTATTTTAGGAGTTGGAAATCTGAGTTGGTCCTCTGTGCTCTTGAGGCCCTGTCCACACGTAGCCGGGGATCTGCCAAAACGTAGATATTTTTCTACGTTTTGGTCTGTCATCCACTCGAAAACGGAGTTTTTTCACACGAAAACGGATCTTTTTAAAAACTCCGGCCAAAGTGAAGATCTGCATTTTCTCCGTTTTGGGTGTCTGCGTGTGGACAGACAGAACCGGAGTTTTAAGGTCCGCAACGTCACTTTCCGCGACAAAAAAATGCTGACATCACGTGTGCGACCTGTGTTTACACTAGCCGACAGCATGGATGCCCTCAGAGCTGCGCTCGCTTTATCAACTGTCCAAGCGCTTTTTGCTTGTTTGTTTTTGCAAGCGGAATTACTGCTCCTTGCGGAAGACCACAGACGAAGGACGAGGTTAAGAACGGGGGAAGTACTGCCGCCTACAGGTCTGGCATGTCCTTAACAATGTATTTATCCGGGTACGTGCGGACAGAGTTTTTTTTTTAAAACAAGGTGGTGTGGATGCAAGTTTTTGGAGGGGCGGATATTCTTTTTTTTTTTTTTAAAAAACCCGGCTACGTGTGGACTAGGCTTAGGTCTTCAAAGGGTATATGACTAAATGAATGGAGTACAACTCAATTAAGAGTACCTTATAGAAATGGTACCAATATGTACAAAAAAGGGCCAGGCAAACACTAAGCAGTCAGTTGTGTTAATACAGGACTCCCTGCCACTGTTCAGTTATTGTTCTGTTATAAACGTTGTACTGTTAGTCAGAGCCAAGTCATGAGAGCAGCGGCACCAGCAGAAAAATAATTGTGCCTTTTTTGGCAGTCTTGTTCCTTCAGGCATTTGCCAAGCTAATGATCAGAATTGAGGTATGGAATGTAGTTTGAGTGGAAAATTAAAACTTTCATCACTTCAGATGATTCCCCAATCTGTCTGTCCACTGCCCTCCTACCCTCACCAGTGAACAAGACCCTCTGAGGTATTTAAACTCCTCCAGCTGAGGTAGGACCTCTTCCCTGACCCAGAGTTGACAATCAACCCTTTTCTAGTCGAGAACAATGGCCTCGTATTTGGAGGGTCTAATCTTCATTCCAGCCAATTCACACTTGGCTTTGAACTTCCCCAACAAGAGTTGAAGGAACACAGATTGATGGATCTAATCATGGTGTCCCACTGAAAGCATCAGTGGCGCGGACCGGCAGCAGAACGTCACTGCTTTAAATAGAATCAATTATTTGTCTATGGAGTGCTTCAAACCAGCCGCGACGTGGCAATTTCCACATGTGTCTCAGAAGCGGCACGCCGCGCTGCTAAAGAAAGGATAGGGTTCTATTCTTGCCTCGAGCCGCTTCTGGGACATGACAATTTCCACAGTTAACATAGACAGGAAATCAGACATGGTTTCAGTGTCAAATCCCTGGTAATTTTCAAAATAAAAGTACTGCAGCGATGCAATTTCATCTATATGAAGCTTACGAGTGATCCAATTCTCCAGCTCCACAAAACACTTGGACACATGGGCTGGTTGGAAAACTTCCATGCCCCCTCCATTACACTAGCAAGGGTAAATAACTGGTCCATGGTTCCATGGCCAGGATGAAAACCACATTACTCAGCCAGACGCTCCTCTGCAGTACCTTGTAGTACACCTTTACCAGGAAACTGACGAGTTTGATCCCTATACCTTGAAGACACCCTATGGTGACCTTTTTTTTACGTGTGAACTACCATCCCTGGCACTTCATAAATGCTGCCCCTCATAACCATTCAATGATTCAGAGGTGTATTGGCCAAGATGTTCCTACTGCCTTGAGAAACTCAGAATGGACCCTCGCTTCACTCTTTCATTTTGATTTGTGTCATGGGTTTGAGGATTGAGGAGTTCCTTAAAGTATTCCATCCACAGTCCGCACAGGTCAGAGGGTTTTTAGCACCTTTTGTGGTGTTGGTGTTCACAGATTAGCCACCTGGCTTTGACCAGGCCAATCATCAAGCTCAGTGTTGACGTCAGGCTAATCTGTGCACTGTTCCCATCTGACCCATACTTTAATTTCATCCCCATTATCTTTCTTTAACTCAGGCCTAGTCCACACGTAGCCGGGGTTTTTTAAAAAACTAATATCCGCCCCTCCAAAAACTTGCATCCAGACCACCTCGTTTTTTAAAAACAAACTCTGTCCGCACGTACCCGGATAAATACGTTGTTAAGGACATGCCAGACCTGTAGGCGGCAGTACTTCCCCCGTTCTTAACCTCGTCCTTCGTCTGTGGTCTTCCGCAAGGAGCAGTAATTCCGCTTGCAAAAACAAACAAGCAGAAAGCGCTTGGACAATTGATAAAGCGAGCGCAGCTCTGAGGGCATCCATGCTGTCGGCTAGTGTAAACACAGGTCGCACACGTGATGTCAGCATTTTTTTGTCGCGGAAAGTGACGTTGCGGACCTTAAAACTCCGGTTTTGTCTGTCCACACGCAGACACCCAAAACGGAGAAAACGCAGATCTTCACTTTGGCCGGAGTTTTTAAAAAACTCCGTTTTCGTGTGAAAAAACTCCGTTTTCGTGTGGATGACAGACCAAAACGTAGAAAAATATCTACGTTTTGGCAGATCCCCGGCTACGTGTGGACAGGGCCTAAGACTCTAAACTTGATTGACGCTGCAGCCATGAAACCAATCTGCTCAGGGCCACTTCCAAAACATTTCTAGATCAGGTTATGACTATGAGTTTGTTACTGAGACACAATCAACTAGTTTTGTTAACAGTCAACCTTTTAGTCATGTATACAAACGTGTATCTGTGATAATCGAGATCAGTCCGTTTTACTTAACATACTACATTGAGAACTTGCTGGCAATAGTAAGTAATGAGGTTGTTTCTCTCTCATCCAGTTTAACCTGAGGTCATGTTGATCTGCGTGGGTCAGTCAGTCACCAGTCCAGCCTTTAGAATCACCTTTATTTTTACCGTTCACTGATCTGTGGTGTGTGCAACACAGACGGAAAGACACGCCATGTTCTGTTTACCTTGTAAACGCAACACTTCCTAACCTTCGTCGGGATATTTTAGCAATTTAAGTAAACAAAGATGTGGGAAATTGATAACACGATGGGATGTACACCCAAGAAACCAAACTCTGTCACCCATTTGCTCTGAGTGAAATTATGTGTGTAATGGATTTTTTGCCATGTATTTGGACCAGAACAGTAATTGTTCACAACGTATACATGTAATGTCTTTGTCCGCCAGACTAGAGCGTAAACAGGGATGCACGTTTTTCAAAATGTCTTTAACCGGCTAATGACACCCCTTAACGGTTAATAGCCAGTTAACCGGAAACCAAACACAAAACCGCACCTCCACCACCACCCCGACGCACACAAACATTTGTCCCCGCTCTATAAGTAACGCTTCTCTGTCTACTCTTTTAAATATAATTCTGACGCACAACCAACGTCCCAAACTCGTTACGTTTATGAACAAAAAGTAAAGAGAGGGATGACAGCTGGAGTGTCCGTCAGACTCAGAACTTGTTGCACAGCGGACTGTCTGGCATCAGATACACAGCACTGCTTGGGATTGTGTGCTGGAGGCCACGGTTTAAAAAAAACACATTTTTCTTACATTGGACTAAATAATGACACTGACATTTCTTTATTTTACTAGACAAATTAGGATTCAGACACAAGGAGCGTCACGGCACACTGACCTTTTGCTGGTCTCAGTTCAGTTTGCTGCGCCGTCTTCTGCCAGGCTCCGTGCTTTGGTGTGAGGCTTATTGCGTTCCAAGAATGAAATAACTAAGAATAAACTGCTCTAATGCTTGCTCATTGCTAACCTCTTCATGTTTGAGCACATTTGTTTGGTCATGTGACGAGCTCATTTCTTCTGAGGTCGCCCAGTAAACATATTTGATAGTGGTGCTTTAGCGCTCCCTAGTAGCACAAAATATGATGCACCCAGCACAGCAGAAGGACTCGAAGCAGTTGACCGGGACAAACTAATTTACCCGGGTACATTAACGGCAATTAACTGGTTAACTACGTGCATCCCTAAGAGTAAACTAGCGTGGAAACCGTCAACACGTATAAATAACTCAATGGAAACAAACCTAGAAGTTGGCTGCACGGTGGCGCAGTGGTTAGCACTGTTGCCTCGCAGCACGAAGGTTGCAGGTTCGAAACTCGGCTGCGGCCTTTCTGCGTGGAGTTGCGTGTTCTCCCCATGCATGCGTGGGTTTCCTCCGGGTACTCCGGTTTCCCCCCACAGATCACAACATGCCCTATAGGTTATAAATTGTAAGTCGCTTTGGATAAAAGCGTCTGCTAAATAAATAAACATGAATAAACATAAACATAAGTTTAAACCAAAGCAAAACAAGCTCCGCCTAGTGGCTGGTTTCAGTATCGGTTCCAAGTCCCGCCCCCTCTGTGTACATAAACGAGACGTTGTCCTAACTAAAAAGTAAAATTTAAAAATAAAAACTTTCTTCAGGTGTTGACTCCTGGTAGTTCCTTTGGTTTTTGTATATGTTTAAACATTAATTTTCCTATTTGTTTAGTATTATAGATTTTGATCAGGCTAGGGTAGTGGCCTGAAGAAATCCAACGATTGTTTGTAGGTGAAGCTTTAAGCCCCACATCCTGAGTGCTCAGACTCTGGTTTTAAACGCAACATGGCAGACTCTGGGATCGTCTAGCCTTGCCTAAAGAAAGCTCATTCCTTGTCTAGTTATTTATGTGTTTGTGTTTAAGACCGTGAGAGCTGTTTTTGTTCTCTTTGCTTGTAGAAGATATACCTGATCAAAGCAGTTTAGTGGTTTGTTTGAGGGCCTATTTCTTGACTTGTTTTCATCTTCTCTTCCTCCAGGTGGGCCCGGCGGGATCTCAGTTTGGACTCCTTGCTTGCCTTTTTGTTGAGCTTTTCCAAGGTTGGCAGATGCTGGAAAATCCATGGAAGGCCTTCCTCAAACTGCTAGGCATCGTCCTCTTCCTCTTCCTGTGCGGCCTTCTGCCGTGGATCGACAACATCGCCCACATCTTTGGCTTCCTCAGTGGCCTGCTCCTCTCCTTTGCCTTCTTACCTTACGTCACCTTTGGGACCTTTGACAAGTACCGCAAACGCATCCTGATTGCTGTGTCCTTGCTGGCCTACGTCGGACTCTTCTCCTCCCTCATCATTTGGTTTTATGTCTATCACATTAATTTGCACTGGCTGGAGCATTTCACCTGCCTCCCCTTCACGAGCAAGTTCTGTGAAAAGTACGACATCGATCATGACATTAATGATGTAGTACACTAGCCTTCAGCCAGCTCTCGGAGATGAACGCTGCTGGCTCCTCGCCAGAGGTGTAAATACTGTTGGTTCCGGTTTAGGATTTGACAATCAACATTTTTTTAAGCGTTTTTGTGAATGAAAGGGAATTTCTCTACTCATCAGCATGCTGGCTCACTAACTCTCGGGTTTTGCACCACCTGGCTGCTGACTAGCGAGTAGAAAATACTGAGAAAGGGGCAAAAATGTACAGGTGCTCAGTCAAAGAGGGAGTTGTGAGCCCACCCACCACCTCCACCACCCACAGTCCTTTTCGCTTGAGTCTAGAAGCTGACGGATGCGTCGGTGAATCATGATGGCACATCCGATGCTTCCTACTTCTTGTTTTCAGTATTTGGACTTAACACTACACACGCACTTACGATTGCTTTTATTTCATCTTTTCTTCTTTTTAGATGTACTGGATTAATTCTAATCTCTAAACGTCCTCTGAAAGATAAAAATGTTGCTGGTAGCACGTCCCGCGCTCCTGGTAAGGTGCAGCTGAAGTAAACGGAAAGCCAGACTCAGCGGTCATCTGAAACCACTAGCTGCCTTAAACACTATGCCGTTTCACAGAGATGCCTCGGTTCTGTTTTCTGATGAAGTTGTGAATCAAAGCCAAATGTACGATGTCCCGACCCGACCAAAGTAACTCCACGTGCTGCTTTCCTCTGCTCGGACATTCGTGCCGGTGCTTTTCCTGCACCGCAAACACACATTTTAGGAGTCTTTTTCTTTTCTATAAATGTTTGATTGAAAGAAGTGTTCTAAGCTTTGCTCATCAGCCCCGTTATCGTGAATAACGACTGTCCACGTTGCTGTTTATGGCAGGTCCCTGACAATGTGATTGTACTAGTAAAGGCCTGAGGAGTGAAACTTTAGTTGGTTCTAATTGTTGTTCAGTGTGTGTGTGTGTGTGTGTGTGTGTGTGTGTGTGTGTGTGTGTGTGTGTGTGTGTGTGTGTGTGTGTGTGTGTGTGTGTGTGTGTGTGTGTGTGTGTGTGTGTGTGTGTGTGTATCCCAGTCACATTGATGTTTGGTGGAAGATTATGTGGGTTTAGTTACTGAGTGGGATTATGTTAGTCAGGGGATCAGCGGGCATTTACAAGAAAACATGTTGTTTAAAACTTACTATAAACAGGATTTTTTAAATAATCCCCTTGCTGTGCCTTGACATGTATCACAACAGCCCTCGTCTACCGTCGTCTGCAGCTGCACCTCTGTCTGCATCGGGACCAATAATTCAACCTTTTTGTTATTTATTAAAAGAAATAAGTGTCAGATAAAGGGAAAGGCCATGGTACGGTTTTGCTTCCTTTTTTTTAAATCTAAAAAATGCTTATTGAAGCAGTTATGTTTAAATAAAAGTCACAGCATTAACGGTAAAGTCTGTGTTGACGCAGTGATATTTTGGTTTTTTTCTACCGTCTACAGGTGGTTCAGAATGCCTGTGCTCGGCTTCTGACCAAGTCCTCCAAACACACCCACATCACCCCGCTTCTCCTCCAGCTTCACTGGCTGCCAGTCAACTCCAGGGTTCATTTCAAGATCCTGGTTCTGGTCTATAGGGCCTTACATGGACAAGCACCATCTTACATTGGTGATCTTCTTAGACCCTACACCCCCAGCAGGTCCCTGAGGTCCAGTGATCAAAGCCTACTGGTTGTGCAGCACCAGGCTAAAGACCAAAGGTGACAGATCATTTGCTGCTGTGGCCCCCAGACTCTGGACCTCTCTCCCCCTGAGCCTGAGATCAGTGGACTCCTTTAAAAAGCAGCTGAAGACTCACTTGTTCAAGCTGGCTTTTGTTTGACCTTCTTCACCTCTCTCTCTTTATTCTGCTCTCCCCACCTATTCCACCTTCCTCAGGATCCACTGATTTCCCTCTTTCCTGTTCACTCTCTCTCTCTTTCTTAACATTTTTCCTTTTAAATTGCAATTGCTTATTCTTGCTCATTTTAAATATAGTTTTAAACATTTTCGAAATGCTTTTTTATATTTTTTACAATTTTTATATTTTTTGTTTTTGTGAAGCGCCTCGTGATTTTTATCTTGAGAGGCGCTATAGAAATGATATTTTCTTCAATTTTTGCATTTGTCCGTTTCCTCTTTCTGCAGGTCTAGAAGCACATTATTGTTTTTTGTATTATTAACCCCCCCACTTCCTTTTCTCTCCCTCTTTCTCTTTTGTCTCCGTGTCCACTGAGGGGGGAAAAACAGAAGAAAACCTCCGTTAAAGTCCTAATCCTACTCCGTGTGTTTCTGGAGCTACAGACACCAACGGGGACTGGTGTGTGAACCGAACCAGTAAGGTGGTTCAGCAAAATATCTGAATGTTCCAGAAAAAATGTTGTTCTGAACAACCAAAGCAGCAGATTAAGAAAAAAAAAAGCCTTTATTACGTACCTGGTACCAAAAATAATACACATTTAGACTTTTAAGTGACAAACTCAACAGCCCACTAGAGAACAAGGCTATTAAAATCTAAATGTTTAAACATTAGTAAACTGGACAGATTTTGGAGTGGTATAGTCGCCGCTAACGGAACCACTCGTGTTTATAAAACACTGACTTCCTGTCCGACATCAGTCCTTCTGTCTTGAAACAAAAACACCAGCTAACACTTTACTGCAGATGTTTGTTTACTGCTGACTCAAACCCTTTTATTCTGATAGGATCTGAATCACAAGGCGGCTGCGCTTTGTTAAAGCGCATCCCAAATAAAACTCGTATTCTTTACAAAACTCATTAAAACTTTCACTCTTTGCTTTACTGAACTTGTTTCTTACGCTGAAACGCGACTCCTGATGTGTTTTCAGTCTCAAACATCCGGTGCAAACAGTGAAAGCTGGAGGGCAGCTCCTTGTTTTCAGCTCCGGAGGCTCTCCTTTCGCCGCCGGCTGAAAGACTTCCACCCACCGTGAAGATCACAAACTCTGGGATCAACAGATGGGCTCACTTCCCTTTTCCTGTCTCCAATAGGTGTCGAGGTCCCGTCACCAAGGAGTCCACCTAAAGAGCCCCCCTGTTTTCAGTATCCACTGTTTCGACGCATGAAGGCATGGCCCCACACTGGGTGGAACATCTCGGTGAAGCTGAGGGGCCCCACCGTGATCTCACTGGGGCCCCTCACCTTGAAACCAGACTTCTGGTAGAAGGGAACCAGGAAGTCCTCACACATGAGGACGGCTCGGCGCACGTAGGGCAGACAGTGAAGGTACTGCAGGTATCGCCACATCAGGATGGAGCCTTTCCCCTGCTGCCTGAAGGTGCGGTGGACGGCCAGGGCGTGGATGTGGACCGTGGTCCCGTGAGGCTTATGGAGGGTCAAGGCGTCCTGGAGGACAGAGTAAAAGAGAAGCTGTAGGAGCAATAAGACATGGGCTCTAAGGAAACGGGACCAAAACAACCAGAACGTGGTTTATTACCAAGAATCGTTTAGTAGTCAGTCAACTAATTACTAAACATAAACTCTAATCTCAGAACAGCCTCAGTTTGGAGAATGTTGCAACAAGATTGATGAGCTAACCACTAGTTTCAGTGGGACTAACCAAAAGGAAGATGGCCGCCTCCGTCAACAACTCTAATCTCAAATGTTTCAGAGCTGCTTGTGATTCAGATTTTATTATTTAATCCCATCGACTGAGACGTTAGTTCATTGTTTTGATGCTAGCAGCAGCTAGCTGTAGCCCGTCTGGTGCGGCCCGGGGAACTTCCTGCTTCGTATTTCTGCTGGAATATTTGTGTGACATTTAATGGTTTGTAGATCATTGTCTGCACACCATGGTGAGTTTTTCAGTTAGAATCCACTTTGGTTATGATTCCACTGGTTCTAGCTGTTAGCTTATCAATCAGGTGAGTTCTAACCAACCTAACCTTGTTGTTCAGAGTTATCTACAGCAGCTAAGATAACTGTTCATAACTTTTACACAGAACCTGTTTCAGATGTAGTTTTGTTATCTGCCTCCCAGCAGGTCAGACATGGAGCAGAACCAGAATGCCGCTCAGACCAGTGAAGTCACATGCATAGTTAGACTCGTGGGGCTGATTCCAGAACAGTTTGACACGTTCTCAATGCCACGTGGGTTTGTTCAAAACAAACAAAAAATCCAATAAACTACAGAATAAAGTCTAGTTTTAGGCAGAAATTTATCTGGATATTTTAGATCTTTCTGGATCACTTATAATGATTGGAAGACTGATTTATTTTATAATCCCCATAAATGTGGATTTAAATCTCCCCCGTTAATCTGGTTGAACCCAGCAGTTTCCAAGTCACTCAGTTAGGTGTGGCTAACTCCGAGGCGCCCGTGCAGGTGAGCGGTGAGGTGTCTCACCAAGGTAAGCCTCTCCTGGTCCCACAGTGAGCCGATAATAAAAGCCACCAGTCGTCCCTCCTCGAACCAGCCAAGAGACAGCTCAGGACAAAGCGTGAGGAAGTGACGCACCTCTTCCAGGTGGAGAGGACACTCACCGGACACTGAGATGAAGGCTGTGGGAGGAAGAGGAGAGGGAGGAGGTCAGGGTAACTGCGAAGCGCCAACCAAATGCGCAGGTTTCCGACTGCGCCAACTTAGTGTTTCTGCAGAGAACCAACATTGGTGACGCGCTTGTGCGTGTGAACGGATCATTTACCTTCTCGCTCAATCTCGAACACGCTGATGGCGTCCTCCGGGCTGAGGGAGCGGAACTCGCTGGCCGGCAGCGTGTGGCGGCGGCCCTGCGGCACCGGAGAGCGCATATGGAGCGGCTTCATGAACGGGACCGCGTTCAGCACCAACATGTTTCAGAACACCAGTTATCTGAATAAAGACACGGTCCTCTTGACTTCTTCTCCTCGTCTTTCTCCTCTCAGCCGAACTTTCCCGCTCTGATCTCAGCAGAACGCGTGCGTAAAAGTCTGAGCTGAGGCGGCGCGTGCGGATGATTTATAGGAGCTGGGCGGTGGTTGCTAATCCTGAGGAGAGCTGGATGACCGAACCCTCCTTTCCTGGTCCAGGTGGAACAATAAACATGCTTACCCAGGGTCAGATCTGGGATGATCCTCGTCATGCGTCCTTCACCAGATTTAGATTTACCGGATCATGTTGGATCGTCTCCGTGTTACCGAGACTCTTAACAAGTTATTTACTCAGTAATTATTATATTGACCTCTGAGGGGTCGACTCACCTGCAGGATCTGATTTCTCTAAAGGAGAGTCAGGAGTTCCTTCCTCCTTTAAATGAACATTTCCCCTCGTTTTAAGTGGATGACAGGACGTCTAAGAGCTTGTTTGTCCCCTCCTAAAAGGGAATT